TTAAAGTCCGGCAGCCGGTTAGAGAGAGAGAGAGAGAGAGAGAGACAAAGTTGGCTTCGTCTGTCCGGGGGTGGGGGGAGGGGGCGGGGGGCCCGGACCCGAAGACAGGCACAACATGAAACCCTAAGCCCTAAAACCCTAAACCCTAAACCCTAAACCCTAAACCCTAAACCCTAAACCCTAAACCCTAAACCCTAAACCCTAAACCCTAAACCCTAAACCCTAAACCCTAAAAACCCTAAACCCTAAAAACCCTAAACCCTAAACCCCCAAGGTTCCAAACCAACGGCTGCCACTGCATCTTCTACAGCAGCGTGGCGCCGCCCTACGCGGCGCCCCCGAACTGGAAGTGCGGAATCAAGTCCAAGGCTACCCCGGTTTAGGGTTTAGGCTTTAGGGTTTAGGGTTTAGGGTTTGGGGTTTAGGGTTTAGGGTTCAGGGTTTGGGGTTTAGGGTTTGGGGTTTAGGGTTTGGGGTCTAGGGTTTGGGGTTTAGGGTTGAGGGTTTAGGGTTAAGGAGTTTGGGGTTTAGGGTTTGGGCTCTGGGGTTTGGGGTTTCGAGTTTGGAGTTTAGGGTTTAGGGTTTGCGGTTTGGGGTTTGGGATTTGGGGTTTGGGGTTTAGGGATTAGGGTTTAGGGTCTGCAGGGGTTTAGGGTTCATAGGGTCTGGGTTTCGTAGCCTTGTGCGTTTGTGTGCTTGTTCGGCTCTTGCCTTATTCCGACACGACATCCCAGGAACGAACAGCAGTGGTGCTTGCGCACTGCCTGCAAGATGGCAGTTTGTCTGAGAGATCATCATCACCATCATCACCACCAGAAGGGAACTCAAACTCTAACCGACCACCCTATACATCCCAAGAAAATACCTTGCGCCGTCCCACATCCCCAATGTAAGGTACGCTAAAGCGTAATCCCGAAACCCTCTGGCAGTCCTTCAGCAGGAGTGGCTGTAGGGTGAGGGATTTTGAGCTAAAGGCGGACCTCCAGGAGGATTCAAGACGAGCTTAGCGCGGAGAGGGCATAGCTGGGTTTAGGCCCTAAACCCTAAACCCTAAACCCTAAACCCTAAACCCTAGACCCTGCAACTCTAAACTTTAAGGTGCCTCGGTCTCCCAACTCGTCCGCCTCAGATTGCGCGCCCGAACACCCTTACTCTTTGTGCTGCCGTCCCCAACCCAAGCGTACCCTCCCCTTCCGGGTCCAAGGCAGAATTTCTTGAGTTCCGAGAGCTCAGGATGTCGGGTTTAGGGTTTAGGGTTTAGGGTTTAGGGTTTAGGGGTTTAACTTTTGGGCTCCTTTGTGGGCTAAAGGTTCAGGTTCTCAAATTCGATTCTCATTTGGTGTTTGGGGTTTAGGCTAGGCCCGACATCAAGCCTTAACCCTTAGAAGCCCTAAGCTCTCGACTAAAACCCCAGTGCACCCTTAACCCCCCCCCAACCACCTCGTGGCTCAGGGTTTCAGGAATTAGGGATTAGGCCACAGGGCTTGGGGTTTAGGGCTTCGTTCTAACTTGCTGGAACCCACGTTTGAGGGTTGTACTAGGGTTGTGCTTGGGGGCTTGAGACTTGTTTCGGGTTTGAAGCCTTTGGGCTTAGGACTGTTTTGGGGCTTTAGGGTGTTTGGGGTTATTTTGGGCTGTTTTAGGACCGAGTTCCGCAAGAGGCTTGGCAGCCAATCTGCACACAATTCGCCACCGATACTGTCGGGGACGATGGCTGGAGCGAAGTTTGCCCGGGCCTAAGTAGCCGAGGTAGACCTAAACCCTAAACCCCAAACCCCAAACCCCAAATCCTAAACCCTAAACTTTCGGGATCCTGTAAACTCTCAAAACTTGGAAACATCTCCCGCCTTCTCCAGCTCTTTCAAACGTGCGTCTGCAACCCTGAGGGTTAGGGTTGAGGGTTTTGGGTTTTGGGTTGTGGGTGTAGGGTGTAGGGTTTAGGGTTTTGGGTTTTCGAAATTCGGGGTACCTTATTGGCGTCCCTATTATGAGGGAATCCTACTACTTGGGAGTCTATATTCGGGGTCCGATGTTTTCGTACACCCCCTATGTTTCCATGTATCTGCACACAAGAGTTGGAAATTCATGGGCTTCGTTTTCGGCTTAGTCTTCGTCATTAACGTGGTTATTGCCTTCTGAAGTTTACAGAGAAGCCTTTCTTCACAGAAGCACTTGCTGCTCGTCACTAGCTCAGAACATGTAAATGGCGCTTCACAACATTCAAATTGACAAGTGCTGCAAAAGCGTTTCAAGCTTTAACTGGCAGTGAATTGGAAAGACAAGTGCAAGCTTCCGACACCCCGACAAAAGGCCCGCAAAGGTTAGGGCTTTCGTAAGTCTGAGTCCTGGAGGGTTTATGCAGTGTTTGGGGCTCAGGTGTTTATGTTTTGTTTGGCGGGGGGGGGGGGGGGTATGTATTTCACCTTATGCCAATGTCCGAGCATAATGTACAAACCCCTTACCCAGAGGTTTTCGGGCCCAAAAGCACCTAAGACAAGGGCATGGGAGCCCCACCCTAAACCCTAAACTCTCAACCCGACAACGCCTCAGCCCAGTAGCCCCAAGATTGCGCTGCAGGCAAAACCGTCCCACCGGGAGCGGCGTACCTCAAACTGGACATGGGCGATGTGGTGGGGGCCTCTCGAGGGGCTCAGCCGTAAACCCCAAACCCTAAATCCTGAAAGTTGAGGATGTTGTGTTTTTTGGTTGCGGATTTGGGGGTTTGAGCTCCGTGCTCTCATCTGCGGCAACTCAGAGGTTGGGGGTTTAGGGCTTCGGGTTTAGGATTTAGCAATGGAGCATGGAGCAGGAGGAATGCCAAGAGTCCGGAGTTCCCGATGTGCCATAGCGGAAGAAGAGGTGAAGGGCTCTGTGCCCAGAGTGGTCTCCTTGCCACGTTCTCGGGCTGCTTTGAACTTACTGTTTTAGGGCCCCTTAGAGACACACTTGTGCAGGGTTTAGGGTTTGAGGTTTTGCCCTAAACCTTAAAGCCAACTCCTGGGGTCATAACTACTGACTCTGTCCCCCGTGTTTCTGGGCTTAGTCTCTGCGAAGGCGCCACAGAAGCTCTCCCCTTCTTAGGAACCTCACGACTTCGGTTTCGGGTTGAGGGTTTAGGGTTTAGGGTGTAGGGTTTAGGGTTTAGGGCATCAAGGGCCAGCGCCAGAACCCTGGGCCCCCGAAAGCACCAACAGCTTGAAACCCTGAAGCCCCCCGATAATTCCCTGAAGCCCTAAACCCTGAAGTAATAGAACCTCAAAACCTGACACCTCAGGCAGCTAAACCCGAAGCACCCTAAAACCTCCAAACCATAAGCCCTAGCCCTAAACCCTAAACCCTAAACCCTAAACCCTAAACCCTACACCCTACACGCTAAACCCTAAACCCTAAACCCTAAACCCTAAACCCTAAACCCTAAACCCTAAACCCTAAACCCTAAACCCTAAACCCTAAACCCTAAACCCTAAACCCTAAACCCTAAACCCTAAACCCTAAACCCTAAACCCTAAACCCTAAACATAAACCCTAAACCCTAAACCCTAAACCCTAAACCCTAAACCCTAAACCCTAAACCCTAAACCCTAAACCCTAAACCCTAAACCCTAGCCCTAAACCCTAAACCCTAAACCCTGAACACCCCTAAAACCTCCAAACCTCAAGAACCTTAGGTCGACTACTTCCGGCCGGTGGGAAACCTCCGGCAGCCGTACTGCGACATGTTGACCTCGACCCTTGTCTAGGGTTTAGGGTTTATAGGTTTAGGGTTTAGGGTTTAGGGTTTAGGGTTTAGGGTTTATAGGTTTAGGGTTTAGGGTTTATAGGTTTAGGGTTTAGGGCTTAGGGTTTAGGGTTTCGGGTTTAGGGTTGAGGGTTTAGGGTTTAGGGTTAGGGTTTAGGGTTTAGGGTTTAGGGTTCCGTCCTTTACCTTCTTGAAAGGATTTAGGCTTCGAAGGGTTTATGGTTCAGGGTTGAAGGGTTTAGGGTTTAGTGTTTTTGGGTTTACGGTGTATAGGGTTTTGGGGTTGAGGGTTTATCTACGCTTAGGGTATTTACATGGTCCCTTAGTATGGTCCCCTACCTTCTTTAGCGCTCTCTGATGTATGGGCCCGTGGGTTGTACAGGCTACATAAAGGGTGTGCAAGGGGTTCCCGTTCTAAGGGCCCGTATTGAGACACCATGCAACTACCCTAAGACCTTGGTTGCGGGTTTTGGAGTTGGGCTGCAAACTGGACCCTAAGCCCCTCAAACTGAAAACCCCAGACCTTCAACCCTAAACCCTAAACCCCAGCCCTAAACCCTAAACCCCAGCCTTAAACTCTAAAACCCTCAAACCCGAAACCCAGAAACCGCAGGTTGTCGCCTTAGGGTTCGAGGCATGCTGCTGCTAAACGCATAGGACTCAGGGTTGCGAGGAGGATCGGGTTCCGGAGTTATGGGGTTTTAGGTTCTAGGACTTAGGGTTTAATTTGGGCTTAGGGTTTAGGGTTCTTGGACTCAGCGCGTGTAGCCGGTTTCCGGGGTTTAGAGATTTTAGGAGTTTCGGGGGTTTGGGTTTCAGGATTTACAAGTTAGGGCTTAGGGTTTCGGGCTTAGGGCAGTAAGTGTACCCTAAACCCTAAACCCTAAACCCTAAACCCTAAACCCTAAACCCTAAACCCTAAAAGTATGGTTTGAGGTTTAGGGTGCCCAACTTCAGAAATGCTAGATCCCAAGCCCGAGACCCTTCATCCATCCTCAACCTTGAACCCTGAGTTCCAAACCCACCTTTTGGGGTTCACTAGCACAAACCGCCCTAAACCCTAAACCCTAAACCCTAAACCCCAAACCCTATAAGCCCTAAGCCCTAAGCCCTAAACCCTAAACCCTAAACCCTAAACCCTAAACCCTAAACCCTAAACCCTAAACCCTAAACCCTAAACCCTAACCCACCCCAGTAAGGGTTCAGCTCTGACTTCCTGAGGAACGACAAGCACGAGTTCAGCCCAGACGGGTTGAGCTGGATGGTCCCCTTGTACTGGGGTGGGCATCATCTTTTGGGAGGCCTGGGCACCTTAAACCCTAAACCCCAAACCCCAAACCCCAAACCCTAAACCCTAAACCCTAAACCCTAAACCCTAAACCCTAAACCCTAAACCCAAAGGGTTGGGGTTGAGTGCGTGGGGTTTGGGATTGGAGGGTCAAGCTAGCTGAAGCTGAAAGCGCCCCAAACCCTAAAGATCACTTAGGCTAAGTAGCAGACCCCCCTAGGCTGAACTGGAAGCTGCCTTCCAGAGTAGGGTTTGGGGTTTAGGGTTTAAGATTTAGGGTTTAGGGTTGAGGGTTGAGGGTTCAGGTTTTGGCTCATTCTTGAAGGAATGCTTTATTGGGTAGAAAAGAACCCTAATTTAGAACATGTCTTTACAGATGGTCAGATGGTAGGGTACCATATTCAGGGGGTCATGTAACTTCCCTTAGATAAGCTGGGTGAAAAGTCGTATGTCTAGGTTGTAACTCTCTTAGCGAAAGAGTTCGTATGGTAAAGATAGTAAAAGGGGTTCTGTCTAGCATGAGCACCTGAAAGCTACCGGAGTCTAGGTAACCTGCAAGCAAGCAGGTTGAGGTTTCGGAAGGCTTTTTCTTTGTTGGGGGTAGAGGGTTGGGCTTTAGGTCTGACGGTCTAGGGCGCCAAGACCACCAGCAAAGGGACCAAAGGAGGGACCCTTAAAAGGGGACCTTAGGGGTCATTTAGCGGTTATTTGGGGGCTAGTTAGGTAAGACGGTATACACGGGGGTTATAACCTTAACCCCCTCACTCTACCAAGTTTAGCCAATGGGCCAATGGGCTATATCCTAAACACCAAGACGCAGAACCCGCCTTAGGACACTTTAAGGCTTTTAAGGCTCATAAGCCTTCTTAAAACCCTAAACCCTAAACCCCAACCCCGAACCCCACACCCCACACCCCAAACCAGCCAGTCCAGGCTCCCGCCATCGTTGGCCTCAGACGGCGCTGAAGGACACCGGCGCATGCATTTCAGTGACGTCAGCCTCGGGGACCAAATGAACCCTAAAACAGGGTTCAGGGTTTAGGGTTTGGGGTTTGGGGTTTAGGGTGTAGGATTTTGGAGTCATCTACGCTATACTGGTACCATACTACGAACCCCTATCCTACTAGAATCCCTATTAGGATATATGAGCCATAAACCCTTTCAGGGTTCATCTGCTCCACGAGGATGATTTTTCAGGGTCTGCTTAGGGTTTTATGGTGTAGGGCTCTGGGGGGGCGGGGGGGGGGGGGGCACCTGGGAGTTATGTAAGGGCTATGTGCGGGCAAACTTCGTACCCTTAAGCTTTAGTTTACAAGGTTTTCGCATCAAACCCTAAACCCTAAACCCTGATCTCTCAACCCTAAACCCTAAAGCCTACAATCCGAAAGGAGCTCAACAGCCTTAATTACCCCAAATGCTGAAGCTTCGTGTCATATACCGTGCTGGGGTTCAACACTTAGAGCTTGAAAAGGACCAACCTGAAACCCTAGACGACCTAAACCTCGAAGCCCAAGTCCTAAACTACACCCAAGCCCTAAACACCAAACCTAAACACTTCTGACCGTTAGCCCCCCAAAACCCCAAACCAACACGAAGAACCGTAAAGACCAAACCCTAAACCCCAAACCCCTAAACCCTACACCCTAAAACCTCAAGGCCAATACCATACCCAAACGCCCTGGAACTCCCAGGCCGTGAGCCCCGAAAACACCCGGACACGCCAAGCCAGGGTTTAGGGTTTATGGATTTTGGGGTTTAGGGGTTAGGGGTTAGGGTTTAGGGTTTGGGGTTTAGGGTTTGGGGTTTAGGGTTTAGGGTTTGGGGCTTAGGGTTTGGGGTTTAGGGTTTCGGGTTTCGGGTTAAGGGTTTGGGGTTTAGGGTTTGGGGTTTAGGGTTTAGGGTTTGGGGTTTAGGGTTTAGGGTTTGGGGTTTAGGGTTTAGGGTTTAGGATTTGGGGTTTAGGGTTTAGGGTTTAGGCTTGGGGTTTAGGGTTTTGGTATTTAGGGTTTAGGGCTTACTGTTAAGGGTTTAGGGTTTAGGGCCCGCGAGAGGACTGGGGCGACAAGCGACGCTATCTCAGCTTCTGGGGCGGCGCCCGCCATCAAGGCAGCTAGGGCTTAGGGTTTAGAGGGTTTTTTTGGTTTAGGGTTTAGGGTTTAGGGCTTAGGTTTTGTAGGGTTTAGGGCTTAGGGTGTGTAGGGTTTATGGCTTAGGGCAAATTCGGGGTTCAGGGTGAATTGGTAGCCACCCCCTCCCTGGAACCCCTTAGAACAGTATTGTCTCTAAACCATACCGTAAAGCCTAAACCCTAAAACCTCGATTGGCCAGCTCTCTGCCGTATGGTTCAGGGTTTTAGGGTAGAGCGCGCCAAAGTTTAGCCCCCCATAAACACCCCAAGTTCTTAGTAGGGAAGGAGGGGGAAACTCCCTTTGCATTTCCTCATTCCCTACTGAGAACCAGAAGTAGCCTTGGGTTAAGGGTTCAGGTTTTAGGGCATGTGTGGTTTGGGGCTTAGGTTTAATGCACGACGGTTTAGGGTTGGCTTTTCAATTTCAAGGCCCCTCAAGGACGTGGCTTGGGGTCAGTAAGCCTGCTAGACCCTAAACCCAAATTTATGGTTTAGTGGAAGGCTGGTGGGTCGATATTCGGGGGATGAAGACGCGAGAGTCGCAGTTTCGGGTATAGGGCTTAGAGAGGTTTACCCTAAAACCCTAAACCCTAAACCCTAATCCCTAAACCCTAAACCCTAAACCCTAAACCCTAAACCCTAATCCCTAAACCCTAAACCCTAAACCCTAAACCCTAAAAACCCACCCTAGAACTTCCGTATCGCCTCGGGCCGCAGAAGCCCATCAATTTCGAGCACCTCCCCTCCCAAATGGCTCTCCGACCCTACGAAAGGGGTCGGAATAATTACTATACTTTAAGTCACTTATGGTCCCTAGATCATTCGACTAGAATACTACACCCCCCCAAAAAAAAACCTCTGTTTTCATTCTTAAGGCTCCTATATCTAAAACTTAAACCCCAAACCCCAAACCCTAAACCCTAAACCCTAAACCCCAAACCTAAACCCCAGACCCTAAACCCTAAACCCTAAACCCCAAACCCTAAACCCCAGACCCTAAACCCTAAACCCTAAACCCCAGACCCTCAACCCAAACCCTAAACCCTAAACCATTGCACCCTTAGCTCCTCTGGGAGGTTGCTGCCACGAAGCCTACGACGACACGGCTACATGGTACCGAGACTTCAGCCGCAAAGCTGCAACTTCTGGGTGGCTTTCTTGGGATTTAGGGTTTGGGGTTTAGGGCTTAGGGTTTAGGGTTTAGGGTGGCCTTAGGGCTTAGGCCTTGGGGTTTCGGGTTTGGGGTTTAGGGTTTAGGGCAACTTGCCGGCCGGCGCGCCCGATCTCTACGCCTGCCTCTTGAGGTTGGATGCAGACATTGATGCGTGGATCAATATCCTCAGCCTACTGAGCCAGGAAGAAGGTCGTGGCGATGCCCATGCCATGGTGTGCAAGCTGGTCAGTCACTACCTGGAGTGTGACCAATCCCAGCTGTACCGACGTGTCCAAGATTCTGTACACCCTGGAAAGAATGAAGCAGCTCTGCGAGCATTACATGTGGTTTTATCTAGTGGTTTTAGCTGCCTGATGGAAAGGGCGGGCCTGGAGGAGGTTTGGGGTTTAGGGCTTAGGGTTTAGGGTTCAAGGTTCAGGGATTTCAGGGTGTAGGGTTTAGGGTTTTAAGGCTTTGGGCAGTTACATGGTCCCTTAGTATCGTCCCTCACCTTCTTCAAAGGGTTCTGAAGTGTGGGGTCTTGGGTTTTATAGTCCCTAAACCCTCTACTCTAAAAATTAAACCCTAAACCCTAACCCCTAAAGCTTCCCCCAAGTAATCGCTTCCTGCAAATACCAAACCGCTCCCTAATTTTTTGCATATGTTTCCCGACCCTCCCCGCACCCAGCCCAATACTAAACCTGTTTGAGAATGAGAAGGGGGGGGGGGGTTGAGGGCCTCCGCCCTTGAGTTGAGCCATTAGGGTTTTCAGGGTTTATGGCTCAGAGGATTTTCACGGTTTAGGACTCAAGGCTCAGAGGGTTTGATTAGGGTTTAGGGCTAAGGCTAAATCCGAACTAAACCCTGGCGTTAAATACAGTGCTTAATGTTGAATTGTGGAATCTCTTTGTCTCTCTTGCTTTTTAGGCTTCGGATGTCAGGTCTTGGGGCTTAGGCCCCCCGCTCCCCCCCCCCCCCTAATTTTGAACATGTTTCCGGCCGAGGCGAATTTAGATTTGCGGGGGGGGGGGGGGGGGTTACCTAAACCCTAAACCCTATAAACCCTAAACCCTATAAACCCTAAACTCTAAACCCGAAACCTTTAGTATTAGGGGAAGGGATGAGGGGCCCATGCGAAGGGATAAGAAGGACCGCCTTGGTTCCCTGTTTCGGGGGTTGAAGGTTGAGGGTTTAGGGTTTAGGGTTTGCGGTTTAGGGTTTAGGGTTTAGGGTGTTTAGGGGTTTCCCATCTAACCCGTCTTAGGGCCTCCGCATAGTTGGGTTTAGGGTTTGGGGTTTCCGTTCTAGGGCCCGTACCCTTGTAGTCTCTCTGCCTCAAAGTCCTCAAGTGATATTTCTACTTAAGAGTCGAGAAGTAAGCTTACTTTAACCTGTTTAGGAGACCCTAAACCCTAAACCCTAAACCCTAAACCCTAAACCCTAAACCCTAAACCCTAAACCCTAAACCCTAAACCCTAAACCCTAAACCCTAAACACATCCTGAACAGGCCTACAAGCCCCAAACCTTCATCCCGGATCTCTCGGCATCAAACCCTAAACCTTAAAACCCTAAACCTTAAAACCCTCAACCCTCAACCCTCAACCCTAAACCCTAAACCCTAAACCCTAAGCCTAAACTTCCCTAAGCCCATGCCAGCGAGGCTTCCACTACTGTGCCCCGAAGTGCATCGACAAGCTGAATCTGGGACGTCTGTTTGAGGTTCCGGGGTTAGGGTTTAGGGTTTAGGGTTTAGGCTTGAGGGTTTAGGGCTTAGGGCTTAGGGTTTAGGGTTTAGGGTTTGCGCGTCACTTTAGGCAGCATCCGAGTCTTCAACTTCAATTTTGCGAGTTTGGTACACGGTAACAGATGCCGTGCAACTTCTTGAAGTCCAGGGCTGAGAGCTCTAGACCACTCAACCGTAACCTGTAAACCTTAAACCCTTGAATCCTAAGCCTTCAACCTCCTACAAGTTTCCAATAAACCGTTGGTTTACGGTTTAGGGTTTAAGGTGTAGGGTTTAGGGTTGGGGTTGGGTTTTACCCTATATCCTAGCCCTGCAGCTGCCGAGGAATGGAGAGGACTACTGCTCGAAGTGGTGCAACCACAAGGGCAAGTGGGGCTGCGGCGTCACCTGACGGGAACTGACTCTACGGGTTCATGTACCTAAACAGAGAATACTTTTTGCCTTAATTCAAGCACTTCCTATACAAGGACTTTGGGCCCAAGTTTTCGTAACAAGGTACATGGACCCTGAGGGTGACTTCATGTGTAAGGGTTTGGGGGTTAGGAGTTGTAGCCCTTGCAACCCTACTTGCAGCTGTGGGATCTCTAAACTCTACGACTGCCCTGAAGCACAATCCAAGGTGCAGTCAGACGGCCAGTACACCTGTGACTGCACGGGCTGCAGCGGTTGCAAGACGACCACCACAACCACCACCCAGGTGGGCAAGTGAAGGTTGGGTTTTAGGGTTTAGGGTTTAGGGTTGTTTTAGGCTCTTTGACTCGGGTTCTTGCGTTTTGGGTTTGGGGGTTTGGGGTTTATTTTTGGGTGGTCGGGTTTGCGGTTTGCGGTTTCTGGCTGGAGTAGCTGTTTGTTCAGTGTTCGGCTCACTAGAATCCTCCAGCCTCCGGACTCACTGGCTTTGTCGCGCATGGCGACATGCATTGAATATATGGGGATTTTCTAAGGATTCAAATCTTTGTGGAGCCTGATATTTCCTAAACACCCTAAACCCCAAACCCTTCAAATTTGCTAAGCCCGATATTTGCCCTTGACCCGAGAGCCGAGAGCGACAAATGCAAATCCTAGGGCCGGCAATCCCCTGACCCCTGAACCTTAACCCCACACACCCTATTCCCCAATCCTGCGTCTCAAACCCTACCTCTGCCTAAACCCTGAACCCCAGAACCCTAAAACCCCGAGCCCTAAGCAATAAATCCTACCTAAACCTTGAACCCCTCCTAAACCTTAAACCCCAAGCCGGAAGCCCTCAATCCTACCCCAACCCTGAACCCTGAGCCCTGAGCCGAAAATCCTGCCTAAACCCTGAACCCTCCTAAACCCTAAACCCTAAACCCTAAACCCTATGTAAACCCTAAGCCGTAAACCCCGAAGTCACACCTGAAGAGCCAGGGCGTTCTGCTGGGCTTCTCGGGGCCATACCGAATAAATAGCGCCTCGGCTTGAACTAGAGTAGGGGCTTAGGGTTCAGGGTTTAGGGTTTAGGGTTTCGGGTTCAGGTTTAGGGTTTAGGGTTGTTTAGGGTTTAGGATGTAGGGTTTAGGGTTTAGAGTGTAGGGTTTAGGGCTTAGGGTTCAAATCTTAAACCCTCAACCCTCCACCCCCAACAAGAAGGGGATTAGGGGTTTGAGGGTCGAGGATCAGTGACCTGTGGGATGATGCACCCTGAGCATTCTCAGCATCGTGCCCAACACAAAGTCTCTGGGCCCGGTTAGAACATGACTTTTAGTTTATGTTCTACCCCTTCATCTCCTATATCCGCCTTATGAAGCACAACAATTCAATCATCGCGGTGCCCCCTCAAACCTAACTCAGGTCTGAGACATTCGGGATGCCGATCTGGGGGTTTGGGAAAAGAAGCCCGCGATCCCAAGACCCCACCGAGTATCCGGGGCCCGCACTCCCTCATCACAGTTCTATAGGGTTTAGGGTGTAGGGTTTAGGGTTTAGGGTTGAGGGTTTAGGGGGGGCCCTCCCTGGAAGCTTGCCTGCCCGTTCTACGCCCTGCACTGCCACCCTACATCTCAGAAAGGGGCGGTGTCCTCGGTGCAAGGTTTAGTTTTCGGCCCTATAAACCCTAAACCACCCTAACGGCAGCTTAGAAACACCCGACCCCCAATCCCTAAAGCGCTATCTCCTTTTACGTGCTATAGGGTGTGAGGCTGCCCCTATCCCCAAAAACCCTGTAGAGACCCTCAGCTGGGGTGCGCAGTATGTACCCTAAACCCTAAACCCTAAACCCTAAACCCCAAACCCTAAACCCTAAACCCTAAACCCTAAACCCTAAACCCCCGCCTAGCCGGTGGCGACGTGGACGGCTTCACCTACTTCCGATCCAAGAAGGTCAGCGAGGACTTCCTGACAGACGAGAAGGCCCACCTCGGCTTTCTCAGGTGTTTTAGGGCTGATAGAAATTGTACAGGGTTTAGGGTTTAGAGTTTAGGGTTTAGGGTTTGGGGTTTAGGGCTGTGTCCGGAGTTTTGTTTTTTTGTGTTTTTTTTTTTTTTTCGGGTGGTTCGGGGTTTTGGGCGGGTGTTGTGGGGTTTGATTTTTTTGCCTTTGCTGGAATCTTATGAAATTGTATAGGGGTTGGGTTTTCTGCCGGGTTTTGGGGGAGGGTTTGCTCTTGCTGAAAACTGCCATCTTCGTTTTGGGTGGTTTTGGAATTGTCGTTGTTTTGGGGGGTGTTGGGCCGGGTTTTGCAGACTGAAATCTTGCCAACTTCGTTTGGGAGGTTGTGTCGGTATTTTCGCTTTAGATCCCCTTTCCCTGTGAAGGATGAAGGATGATTGAACGAGCTGCTCGTAGTGAAACGCATACAATGTCTATTTACCCTGGCCTTGAGGGTTTAGGGTTTGGGGTTTAGGGTGTAGGCTCAGGGTTTAGGGTTTAGGGTTTGGGTTTAGGGTTTAGCGTTCAGGGTTCAGGGTTCAGGGTTCAGGGTTCAGGGTTCAGGGTTTAGGGTTTAGGGTTTAGGGTTTAGGGTTTAGGGTTTAGGGTTTAGGGTTTAGGGTTTAGGACTGGGAGAGGCACTGAGCAGCTGACTGAGTCGACATAGCCTGGCTTAGGATTTCGGGGGGTTTCATATCTTAGGCCCAGCCTTTTCCTTTTAGGGTTTAGGGTTTAGGGTTTAGGGTTTAGGGTTTAGGGTTTAGGGTTTAGGGTTTAGGGTTCAGGGTTCAGGGTTTAGGGTTTAGGGTTTAGGGTTTAGGGAAACAAAAGCTGAGACGACAAGCCGCTGAAACCGCAGAGCACAAAGCCGGAGTTTGCATGCAGGTCGGGGACAAGTGTGACGCCTGGGCCGTGTTGGGTGGTGTCAATGGTGGAACACATCCAGGCAGGCCTTTAGGGTTTAGGGTTTAGGGTTTAGGGTTTAGGGTTTAGGGTTTAGGGTTTAGGGTTTAGGGTTTAGGGTTTAGGGTTTAGGGTTTAGGGTTTAGGGTTTAGCGTGCGATAACTCAGTCCCCGGATGTTTCTCTTTTCTAGTTGAGGGTCCGGATATTCAAGATTCCCCAAAACGTCGACCCTCAGCTGGGAGGGCTTTTGTGCCACTATCATCAGGGGGATGAATGCTTCACCCTCAAGCCGTAAGCCTCAAGCCGTAAACCCGAAGGCTACAATCCTACAATGTACTACCATACTTCCACCCCCCACGCAAGGTTTGCCGCCAAGTATGGCCAAGTAAGGGCAAGCAGGGTTGCGTACACTTCGCTGCAGAGTTGTGCTTTGATCTAACGCTTCCTAACCTCTAGCCCTACCCTAAACCCTAAACCCTAAACCCTAAACCCTAAGCCCTAAGCCCTAAACCCTAAACCCTAAACCCTAAACCCTAAACCCTAAACCCTAAACCCTAAACCCTAAACCCTAAACCCTAAACCCTAGCTACGGAGGGCGCCTCCCCTGAAGGTGGAATCAGGTACTACTACACGCACGTTGGGTGGCCGAAGCAGGTGGTGCACTTCGAGTCGCTTTGCATCGGGAAAACAGCCCATGTAGGGTTTAGGGTTTAGGGTTTAGGGTTTAGGGTTTAGGGTTTAGGGTTTAGGGTTTAGGGTTTAGGGTTCGGGTTCGGGCTTCTACGCGTTGGGTTGAGGCTAAATCCGAGACCGTAGACCCAACCCCGAAACCTTAGACCCTCATCCAACAAAGGACTATAGCCACTTGTCGATGAGTACCCTTAGTCCCTTTTTGTTCAGTGTTTCCCTAACTAAACCCTAAACCTCAAACTCTAAACCCTCAACCAAAGCCGTGTCACCCTTTCAATTCTCAGCTTGCCTGGCCACCTTGAAACCGAAGTCCTTCTAAACCCTAAACCCTAAACCCTAAACCCTAAGTCCGCTGGCCCTGAGCCCCTGTAGATCAGTCAGGGCTGAGGGCTGAGGGCTTAGGGTTTAGGGTTTAGGGTTTAGGGTTTAGGGTGAGGGTTTAGGGTTAAGGGTTTGGGTTTTGGGCTGCTTTGTTTGGGTTTAGGGTGTGTTTTTTTTGGGTTTGGGTTTGGGTTTGGTGTTTTGTGTTTTGGGCTTTGGTGTCCTCGTACGAACCCTGCAGGCAATGTCTTTCCCTAAACCCTAAACCCTAAATGTCTCTTCAGCAGAGGTTCCACTTCTGCGACTTCGTTTCCATCAAGAGACTACGGATCGGCACTCCGAACTACTGCGAGCGAGCTGAATGGAGGGTCTTCACTCACACGGCCGATTTGCCGCGGCCACGCGCGCCCTTTCAGGGTATGTACAAGACCAAAGACCGGTTCTGGCCATGGTTCTAATTTTCGTTGACTAAAGGACCATCAAAGTTCAAGGAGTCGTAAGACTTTATTGTAGACTATGTCTATTGTAGATGAATTCGTTGGCACTAATAATGCTATATTACAGCAAACTTGAAACCCTCAAGCCTAAACTTGCCAAAGAATCCCGGCACCTTTGTGGGAACACACGGGCACCCAGGCAGTTGAGACCCGCTATTGCGAGGCTCCCCCTGACCATATGGGGGTTCTCCGAAATAGGCCATTAGGGCTTAGGGCTTAGGGTTTAGGGTTTAGGGTTTATACCCCCTAATATAGACCCCAAATAGTAGGAATCCCCTTATAATAAGGACCCCAATAAGGTACCCCTTTGCTTCGGAAAACCCCCATATACCAACTCAAGTTGTTGGACGTTGTAGCCCTACTGCCTGTAATACGACACCCTATACCCGAGCGGCGTTAAACTTTACAAAGACTTTTTAAGGTTTTTGGTTTGGGGGGGGGGGTCCGGTTTAGGGTTGAGGGTTTAGGGTTTAGAGGGTTTTGGGTTTGGACTTTAGGCTGTAGGGACCTGGGGGACGGCTGACTGAGGGCACGACATTCTCGGCGGCACCCTGCAGTATCGGCACAAGCGGGATTGGGCGCCTGGCACCAGAACCCAGAGCCCGAAAAGACTTGTGGGTTTGGGGTTTAGGGCTTAGGGATTTAGGGTTTAGGGTCTAGGACTTAGGGCTTAAGGAGATGTTGCTCTGAGCCCCTTGCCCTAAGCCCAACACCCTGAATGACGTTGGGTTTAGGGCTTGTGGCTTTCGCTGGTTCAGGCTAGGTCCTCATCCCTACATCGCTCAAGTCGCAATCCCGAAGATGAACCCTAAACCCCACACCCCAAACCCCAAACCCCAAACCCCAAACCCTACAGTAAACCCTAAACCCTAAACCCGAACCCCTCCCTTAAGGACCCCAGAAAGTCCCGAAGATGAATCCCAAATCTGGATCCTCAACTTGTCCCCATCCTAAGGGTCCCCCACCCCTCGCGACAGACAAGCTAAGCACCTGAAAGCATTTGAAACCGTAAGCTTGGGATGTTAGGGTTTAGGTTTAGGGTTTGGGGTTTAGGGTTTAGGGATACTAACAGTCCTGAATAGGCACTATACTAGACGGTACTATGGCTGTTAGTATAAGGGGGAACCCAACCATAAGCCACGAAACCCTCAAACCTTCAAACCCTAGGCCGCTCATACCCTATTCCGTAAGCCCTAAACCCTAAACCCCAAACCCCTAAACCCCTAAACCTGTAAACCCCCCAACACACAAACACCCTGCAACTCAAGAAGACATGGTGCGCAAACACACCGGAGCGCAGCGTGCATGCCCCGGCATCCGACAGCAAGCATGCGTAAATACAGAACCAAGTCAGAGACCGCTGCGCGAGGAAAGGGTTTGCCTCCCTGGGTGCGCTCCCGACTGAACTGAAGCGAAAGCAGAAGCCTTCTACTTATTTTTGTTAGATTTTGTATTGGCTCAATGTGGCTCAAACCACAAACCAAACTTTTAAAATGTATAACCACGTTTTTACACAACAAAAACCCTTGAGGCTTACCAGGAGCTTAGCTCGGCAGCAACAGCAGGAGAGGAGACGACTGAACGAAACGATTCTGCGAGGCGCCCGAGGGAAGGAGTACCGCCGCGCGAAAGCCATCACATGCTCAGGCTGACTCACGCACCGCTTTGCACGCGACAAACTTCGAAGTCTGAGCAAGCCCTAAACCCCGAAATCCCTAAGCCTTGCCTGAAGTTGCGGGGTTTCGGGGCTTGGGTTTAGCGAGGTTTGTCAGGGGATTATAGTGTTTCTTCAGGGAGGGGGACTCATGGGGTAGGTACCTAGGGAACCTTAGGGAAGCTTATTGAAGCTTAGGTAACCTAAATTAGGGGTGATTAAGGGGTTATTTGGGGGCTACTTAGGTATACTATATAAGGGAAGTATAGGCGTTCTGTAGGGGGCATAAGATTAAGGGCCCCTTCTAGGGGTCCCTCCTTTTGCCCCTTCATCAATTTGGGGTTTAGGGTTTAGGGATTTTGGAGCTAAGGGTTTGGCTAGCCGCTAGCCAACAGCTCATATTGAACCCTAAGCCCTCAGCTTTCTAGGTTCTAAGAACCCTATACCCTGCAATCCCCAAACACCACAAAGCCTACCCTTCAACCCTCAACCCTAAACCCTAAACCCTACACCCTAAACCCTGAACCCTGAACCCTAAACCCTAAACCCTAAACCCACTACCACTCCGAGGTGACGGCGGAAGTGGGTCACCAGATCAACATGAAACTTGGCTGCCTCCTAAGCCCCAACTTATAGGGTTTAGGGTTCAGGGTTTAGGGTTTAGGTAGGGTTTAGTGTTTAGGGTTTAGGGTCTGGGTCTCGGGTGAAAGGTTTAAGGCATCAAACCCCAACGTAGAGGGTTTAGGGGGTAGGTTTTCCAAACACTGAAAAAATCGAAAACAGGCAGTGCTTTAACCGAAAAGCACAGGCCCATAGTGTGAAGCTCTCTCTAGGTTTTAGGGTCTCGGGTTTATTTAAGGTTCAGGGCCTCAAACCCCAAACCCAAACCCCCAAACCCAACTACAAAGTATAGGCTAGCTCGATCGCCGCAGACCATAAGAAACAGGGTATATATTCCTGGCATTGGCGAGTGTGTATATGTATGTATATACATATACATATACATATACATATATATATATATGTATATATATATATATGGCGTCCTTTTGGGGATTCATTCGAGTAGTAGAAACCCTACTTTCCTAAAGGCTTGTCTGGGGCCTCCAAACACTGGCAGCCTCCCGAAAAGACCACAGTGCAGGGGTTTTGGGGTTTCTCTGTGCTTCTGAGAATAAGGCCCCCTAGATAGGTTGGGTTTAACCTTTTCGGGTTCAAGGTTTAGGGTTTAGGGAAGTTGCATGGTCCCTTATTTTTTTGAAGAGATTTGAAGTTTGGGCCTTTGGGTTTTCAGTATGGGCTATATAATATGGTTTTTTTTACTCAGGGCCCATACGAAGGGACCATGTATCTACCCTAAGAAGGGGGATAAGTAGGGTGCCTGGGTTGGCGAGCGCGCCGTCGGGAACGTGCCCCTTTCTAAAGAAAGGCGCACTCTCTGCCCACTGATGCACACCCTAAACCCAAAACTCCGGACCCTAAACCCTAAACTCTGGACCCTAAAACCCTAAACCCTAATCCCTAATCCCTAAACCCTAAACCCTAAACCCTAAACTGCAAGCCAAGGAAAGTCATGCAGCCCGAGTGGATTCACAACCCGAAAGCCTGGGAAGTGCTTTACTCAGGCGACCTGGCAGGGTTTAGGGTTTAGGGTTTAGGGTTTAGGGTTTAGGGTTTAGGGTTTAGGGTTTAGGGTTTAGGGTTTAGGGTTTAGGGTTATTAGTATAATTTTTGTTTTTGGCGGGGGGGGGGGGGGGCTGGGGGCGGGGGTCAGGGTTCAGGATTTAGGGTTTTTTAGGTTTTCTCGGGGGTCAGGGTTTCGGGTTTAAGGGGTTTTCAGGTTACATGGCTTAAGTAGGTGTCAAGTTTGAGGGTCTTGGGCGGTTCAGGGACACGGTGGCACCTAAGCCCTAAACCCTAAACCCTAAACCCCCCTCCCCCCCCCCCCCCCCCCCACATTGAAAGGATCCTTTGCGGGGAGACCCATGTCACATGAGCAGCCCTGAGAACTCCCCAGAGCCCTCCCAGACTTGAGGGGATGAGGGGCTAGGGTTTTAGCGTTTAGCGTTTAGGGTTTAGGGTTTAGGGTTTAGGGTTTAGGGTTTAGGGTTTCGGATTTAGGGTTTAGGGTTTAGGGTTTAGGGTTTAGGGTTTAGGGTATGTAGGTGTGGAAGAGCACGGTTCTGAATGGGACGAGACCCCAAGCCCTAGTTAAAGCCCGAAGCCCCTCGTGTTAGGATGCCGGGGATTGCCAGACTCAACGAGGGTGCCTTTGAACCTAGCCGGCACAGGTGCTTCAAGCAGGCTGCTACACCCCAAAGCCCCAAACAGCCCTGAAGTGGGTTTTGTTTGGGTCGTACTATTGGGTGCCGGGCTGGGGTTAACCCTAAACCCCAAACCCCAAACTCCAAACCCTAAACCCTAAACCCTAAACCCCAAACCCCAAACCCTAAACCCTAAACCCTAAACCCTAAATCCTAAACCCTAAACCCTAAACCCTAAACCCTAAACCCTAAACCCTAAACCCTAAACCCTAAACCCTAAACCCTAAACACTAAACCCTAAACCCTAAACCCTAAACCCTAAACCCTGAACCCTGAACCCTAGCCGAAGCTCGCGGCGGAGAGCCCAGGGGATGCTACCAGCCGACGCTGGCTCCTTGGCCGTGCACTGGAGGGTTTAGGGTTTAGGGTTTAGGGTTTAGGGTTTAGGGTTGAGAGTTTGGGGTGGAGGGTGGTTTAGGGTTTAGGGTGTGGTGTTTGGGGTTTAGGGTTTGGGGCAGATTTTAAAGATCCTGATTGGGGTTTGAGGGTTGAAGGGTTTGGGGTTATGGTGGTGGAGGCGTCTTACGTTGGATTGCGGGTTCTTGTATGCAGGCCTTTCCGTGAAAGGCCTAGCTGTCTGCGATCCTGTTTGGGGTTCCTTGGGTGTCAGCAAATTCCCTTCTAGCGGGGGTCCCCCCTGTTCTCCCTGAGGATACAACCCTCCCAAACCCTGAACCCTAAACCTTAAACCCCAAACTCTGAACCCTAAACCCCAAACCCTAAACCCCAAACCCTAAACCCCAAACCCTAAGCCCTAAACCCTAAACCCTAAACCCTAAAGCTAAACCCTACCCTCCCAGGCGACTGGCAAATTACGTCACCAGAAACCACAAGTACTTCTCGGGCATCGAGCTCTCCTGGGTGGCCAAGGCAGGAGTCTCGGGGTTTAGGTTTAGGGTTTAGGGTTTAGGGTTTAGGGTTTAGGGTTTAGGTTTTAGGGGCTTAGGGTTCGGCACCCTAAACCCTAAACTCTCTACCCCTAA